CTGTTGAGGTGTAGGAGCTGCTGACACTCTGAGGAGGTGTAGGAGCTGCTGACACTCTGAGGAGGTGTAGGAGCTGCTGACACTCTGTGGAGGTGTAGGAGCTGCTGACACTCTGAGGAGCAGAATGAGCTGCTGACACTCTGTGGAGGTGTAGGAACTGCTGACACTGTGAGGAGGTGTAGGAGCTGCTGACACTCTGAGGAGGTGTAGGAGCTGCTGACACTCTGTGGAGGTGTAGGAGCTGCTGACACTCTGAGGTGCAGAATGAGCTGCTGACACTCTGAGGAGGTGTAGGAGCTGCTGACACTCTGTGGAGGTGTAGGAACTGCTGACACTGTGAGGAGGTGTAGGAGCTGCTGACACTCTGAGGAGGTGTAGGAGCTGCTGACACTCTGTGGAGGTGCAGGAGCTGCTGACACTCTGAGGAGGTGTAGGAGCTGCTGACACTCTGAGGAGGTGTAGGAGCTGCTGACACTCTGAGGAGGTGTAGGATCTGCTGACACTCTGAGGAGATGTAGGAGCTGCTGACACTCTGTGGAGGTGTAGGAGCTGCTGACACTCTGTGGAGGTGTAGGAGCTGCTGACACTCTGAGGAGGTGTAGGCGCTGCTGACACTGTGAGGAGGTGTAGGAGCTGCTGACACTCCAGTCCTCCTGCAGGCTGCTCAGCCGTGGCAACAACACTGAAGCTGTGGAGTCTGAAGAGTCATCATCCAATGGAGCATCAAGCTCTCCTTCCTCATCTGAATCCACTCAGGAAGGCTTGTGTTCAGGTTGTGTTCAGGTTGTGTTCATGTTGTGTTCAGCTTGTGTTCAGCTTGTGTTTAGCTTGTGTTCAGCTTGTGTTCAGGTTGTGTTCAGGTTGTGTTCAGGTTGTGTTCAGCTTGTGTTCAGCTTGTGTTCAGCTTGTGTTCAGCTTGTGTTCAGGTTGTGTTCAGGTTGTGTTCAGGTTGTGTTCAGCTTGTGTTCAGCTTGTGTTCAGGTTGTGTTCAGCTTGTGTTCAGGTTGTGTTCAGGTTGTGTTCAGCTTGTGTTCAGCTTGTGTTCAGGTTGTGTTCAGCTTGTGTTCAGGTTGTGTTCTGCTTGTGTTCAGGTTGTGTTCAGCTTGTGTTCAGCTTGTGTTCAGG